GCTACAGAGGGAGACCCTGTTTTTTTTTTTTTTTTTTTAAAAAAAAAAGGGCTGGGGAGATGGCTCAGTAGAATAAACGCTTGCCTGGCAAGCACAAGGGCCTGAGTTCAATCCCCGGTTCTGCAAAAAAAAAAAAAAAGGAAATAAATAATAAAAATAAAAAGCTGGGAAGGTAGCTCAGTGTGAAGACTGGATTCAACCTCCAGTACTGAAAAAAGGGTGGCTAAACTTTTAAAATGAAGGCCAGTCCTTAAAATAATAATTTTAAAAATTAAGGGCCAGCCAAATAGCTTAGTGGATTAAAGTGCCTGCAAGCAGGCACAGGGTCCAGGGGTTCAATACTCCAGCCTGCTGTGCCAGCCCCGCCCCCAGAGCACACTGAGATGGCAACTTAAGACTGGGCATGTTGGCATGCGCCTGTAATCCCAGCTCTTGGGAGGCTGTAAATAGGAAGATCATTATGAGTCTGATCTAGTAGTGAGACCCTGTAGACCCTTCCCTAAAATACAGAAAAAAAATATATGGATATAAAAATAAAAAATTAGGGCCAGGGATATAACTCAGTGGCACAGTGCCTGCCTTGCAAGTGCAAGGTCATGAGTTTGATTCTCAGTACCAAAATAAAATAAAAAATAAAATTAAAACATGTCTTCCGTTTTTACTGTAATATTACCACTTAAAAGCAAGAAAGGGGCCGGGGAGATGGCTCAGTGGAATAAGCGCTTCTCTGGCAAGCGTAAGGGCCTGAGTTCAATCCCCGGTTCCGCCAAAAAAAAAAAAAAAAAAAAAAAAGATAATTAAAGTTGAAAAGTATTTAAAAAAAAAAATCAAGAAATATACTCTCTACCAATCTGGGCAACTGTACTTTCACTGTGGGTGCAGGTGCAGGTGTGCTGTTAGGGATGGAAGAGAGGGCTTTTCACTGAGTGACACCCACAGTCTTTAAATTTGAGCTCAGATCTTGCTAAGTCTCTATGTGGCCTAGGCAGGGCTCAAACTTACAGCCCTCCTACCTTGGTTTCCCAGGGCACGCTGCCCACCAGCTGTGTTTTCTGTTGATATTTATTTATTTGCGGTGCTGGGGATTGAACTCAGGACCTTGCGCTTGCCAGGCAAGCGCTTATGCTACTGAGCCATCTCCCTGAGCTACTCCACTTGCTAACAAGTATGGGAACTGAGAGACTGGTGAAGGTCAGTACTTAAGGCTGCTCTCAAAATGTACAAAAGGGCTGGAAAGATAGCTCACTACAGCGCCTACTTAGGCAAGCTTAGGTAGGCGATCCATGTGCTAGGTTCAATCCCTCAGCACATGCTGCGCCAGCCCCACCCTCAGGGTGGGCTGAGCAGGCCCCCTCCAAAAAAATTTAAGAGAGTAAAAAGTTTTTTTTTTTTTTAAAGGTATTTTAGAAAATTATGGTTTAAAAAAAATGAACAAAACCTAGCCTGGCACAAGGAACCCCATGAAGTCGCTACATACTCATGGTACTGTGCACCGAGAGTGCCTTCCTCGCCTTTTAGGTGATTCTCAAACTCACGGAAACGTGAACACTGTTGCCTCGGAGACTCCCTTGCTAGTTGGCTGAGATAGCACCACCTCAGATGCCAACACCTCACATCGAGAGACCAAGCATCTCCTGTGGGTGCTCCCTAGATGCCTCAGGAGCAAGCACATTCATGAACATTTACTGTGAGGCTGAGGACCTCTGGGGTTCGGGGGGAACTCCAAGGAACCATTATCCATCCTTTTGCAGTGTGCGCTACAGGGCACAGGACATAGCTCTGCTCAGTGCAGAGTGTGGCCTAGCACATGCAAGGCATGTGATCCTCCTGCGTCAGCCTCCCCAGGGCTGAAACCACAGGTTCAAGCCAGAGGTGGGGGGACCTTCCTGTCATCTGCCTTACACAGTTCATTTCTATCCTAGTCCTCCAGTCTTCCGCTGTGGGCACTGCATCTAGGTGAGCAAGCTGGGGGGGGGGGTGAAGGAAGGGGCAGAAAGGGAGAGGGAGAGGGAGAGGGGGAGGGGGAGAGAGAGAGAGAGCGCGAGCGAGCAAATTCTGGGTCTCACACATGCTACATTATGTACTCTACCATTTAGCTGTATACCCATGAAATAAGACTAAAGAATATATTTTTGGTATAAGGCACAAATATTTGTAAGGTGTCTAAGAAGTGTATTGATTGCAATAATAGCATGTTCCTTAAGCTATATGATGAGAAAGTGGTGTTTTTGTTTGATGATCCTGGGGTTTGAACCCAGAGCCTTCATACTGAGCTACATCTCCTGTCCTTTTAATTTTTTTTCTTTTTAATTTTGAAGAGTCCTTTTAATCTTTTTTATTTTTGTTTTGAGACACAGCTTTTTTTTTTTTTTTTTTTTTTTGTGGTACTAGGAATCAAACTCAGGACCTTGAGTGGCCCGACAGGGGCTTAAGCTGCAGAGCTCGCTCTCCACCCCTAGGATGTGGCTCTTTTAAGTTGTAAAAGTTGGGCTTGAACTTGTGATCCTCCTGCCTCTGCTGCTGTGGGTAGGCTGGGACTATGGCTGTGTGCATCACCCGGCCCCTCTAAAATAATTCAGTAACAATAGATGTCACCTCTTCTAATACCCATTGCAGAAGGCCCCATAAGAAAGCTCTAATATAATGAAATGAGGTTTTAGGCCCCAACTCCATGGCATCTCTTCCATATGAAGGTGGTAAGAAATCCCTCAAGTTAAAGCCAAGTACACTGACGGAGTGTGAACTGCATGAGCCAGAAAGGTGGCTTTGCAATTTCGGTGAGGAAAATGAGAAGACTATATAACCTTGTGCATAAGGGAGTAATCAGAGGGGCCCAGCCTGATGGCCCATGCTGTCATCCTAGCATTCTGGAGGCTAAGGCAGGAGGGTGATTGCAAGTTCAAGCCCACCTGGGCTACAGAGTGCTCTTAAGGCCAATCTGAACTAAAAAAAAAAAAAAAAATCAGACTCTGCCGCTTTGTTAACTTACTGTTTTTGTTTCTTGGTTCAAGTAATCCTGCCACCTCAGTCTCCTGGGTGCTGGGGTCACTGCTGGTGGGTGAGGGTAGCTTTACTGCTAAGGGCTCCTTGGGGTCCCCGCCCTCCTAGCCGTCCTGCCCGCGGCGTCATCCAGGGACCTCAAGGTCCCCTGCTCACCTTGGAGCTGTTACACAGGAACCTGGTCTCGTACTCCTCATTCATGGTGATCACGCCGCGCACGTTCTCGTCCTGGACCAGCTGCAGGCCACCAAGGGCTCAGCGGGCTACCGGGACGCCATGTCCCTAACCAAGCCTCCCGTCCCCACCCCGCCTGGTCCCGCCCCGTCCCTGCCCCGGTCCCCGACCCACCGTCGCCCACCTTGCGTGTCAGGCTCCGCAGCGGCAGCGCGCCCAGCAGCACGGTGCGGTCGATGCGGTGGTACCACTCGCGGTGGGCCGGGCCGCCCAGCTTCCCGCGGAGCACGGTGTAGAGCAGCGTCGGGTAGAAGAGCGCGCGGGCCAGGCTGGCGCCCAGCCACACCGAGGGCGCCATCGCGCCGGGACGCGACACAGCGCGGGCGACCGGAACCGGCGCGCGCAAGGAGTGGGCGGCCGGCGGGCTCCGCCCCGGGGAGGGGACAGGACCAGCGGGCGGTGCCACCCTGCCCGGGCTGGGACTGCACGGGGAGAACCAGCCAAGGGAGAGGGGAGACTGGAGGCGGCGCCCGGCGCTCACTTTGTTTATTTTGCTTTGCGCTTTCAAGCGGAGGCCCCGCGGTGGGGAGTGCTCGGCCTGGCCCAGTCCCAGGGCGCGGGGAAGTAAGCGGTGGCCTCTCCCCACCAGCGCCCCCAGGCCTCAGGCCTGCTCCCCGCCCCCCCTCCCCCGCTCCTGCCCCAACACCTCGTACACTAGGTGGGAGATTGATGAGAAACTCATGCTGAGAGATGGGGACGCTGGCCTGTGACCCCAACTCTCTGGGAGGCTGAGGCAGGCTGATCAAAGTTCTCTAGGAGCAGCCTGGGCACCTTAGTGACTTAGCAAAGCCTGTCCCAAAAAGCGAGGGAGGGGCTGGGAACGGAGCTCAGTGTGCACCCCCAGGCCTAGAATAAAGATGGGCTTCCTATTTACTGTTTCTTTTCACTCAATGATATGAATATTATGCCATGTCAGTGCAGGCATATGGAGCTTATAGTTTATCCTTTTTTTTCCGCGTAGTGCTGGGGCCGGAATCCAGAGTCCTCACACTGAACTCCACCCCCAACTCTTTTCTTTTTTGCGGAATCGGGCTTGAACTCAAGCCCTTGCGCTTGCCAGCCAAGCACTTATTCTACTGAGCTATCTCCCTGGCCCCTCCTTTTCTATTCGAGACAGAATCTCACTAAATTGCCCATTTTGGACTCGAACTTGTGACCCTCCAGTTCAGCCTCCCAGAGTTCTGGGACACGGGCAGGCACCACCATATCTGTCCTCCACATTGTATTTCAAGACAAAGTCTTGCTGAATTGCTTAGGTTGGCCTTGAACTTGCCATCTTCCTGCTTCAGACGTCCAAATAGTTGGCTCAAGGTGTGCGCCACACACAGGGCTCCAAAGTGTACCCTAAAGGCACCCTGCCACGGATGCACTTGTGAAATGAGCATGTATTGAAGACAGTGAAACTGAAACGTACATCACCCCCAGTTTCTCCATTTGCTCTGTAACTCCTTCCCCTCTTGCTTAGCAAATATGGATCTACCATTTATGACTTAATAGTTTAGGGCTGGCCAAAGAGCTCAGTGGATTACAGCACCTGCTTAGGCCCCGGGGCATGCTGAGATGGTGATTGAGACTGGGCGTGGTGGCCTGTGCCTGTAATCCCAGCACTTGGGAGGCTGTAACAGGAAGATCACTACGAGTCTGATCTAGTAGTGAGACCCTGAATACCCTGTAGACCCTTCCCTAAAACTATACAAAAATTTTTACCATTTTATAGAATTATATATAATAAATGCGAGTATTTTAAATTTTTAATGGTTATTGTTAAATTTCCTTCCAATATGTTGTATCTATATGCACCAAGAGAGCCTGTTTTTGTCTTTATGAGGTGTGATGAAAAATATAGTAAATGGCTATTTCAGCTCAAGTCCTTTTGTTTAGAATCTCCCTAAATCTTGGCCAGGGAAATGGCTCAGTAGAATAAGCGCTTCCCTGGCAAGCCTAAGGACCTGAGTTCAATCCCTGGTTCTGCAAAAAAAGAGAATCTCCCTAAATCAAGTTAGAGCTTAAACTGCTTTCACCTGACTAAAGGTGAGTATGCCTGCAAGGCATCTTAAGGGATCATGCCTGGCCTCCTTATCTTACAACTAGCGGAATGGAGGAAACCTGGGTGAAAAACCTTTGCTGTCTCACATTCACCGCACTGCATGTTTTTCTATTTTTTGGGTTTTTTTGGCGGAACCAGGGATTGAACTCAGGCCCCTGCACTTGCCAGGGAAGCATTTATTTCACTGAGCCATCTCCCCGGCCCCCACACTACATGTTTTATAATTCATATACTGTGTGTGTGGTTTTTTGGTTTTTTTGTGGAACTGGGGATTGAACTCAGGCCCCTGCACTTGGCAAGCAAGAGCTTATTCTACTAAGCCATCTCCCCAGCCCCTGTGTGTGTTATTTTCTGAGACTTTTATGGTGATTGCTGAAAAAAAGTTTTTCTTTGGTTAATTTTTTGAGATAGAGTCTTTCTGTGTAGCCAATGCTGACCTTGAACTTGAAGCAATTCTCCTGCCTCAGCCTTCTGATTTCTGGGGTTATAGTGTAACAGAAAATGCCTCCCCCAGCCAGTATACTTCAGTTGCTCAGGCAGTAGTTCCTGTTCTAATTCCAGTTGCTTCTGTGTCTTAGAAATGCGAGGGGAGAGGAGGGATATCCATTGTATAAACCAACCCCAGTTTACAAGCCATTCTGCATGTGGACTTCCTGCTTGCTTATCCATCCCATCTAAGCCCTAGACCACCAGAGATCAGGGCCTGATATTTTATTTTATTTTATTTTTAAATTTTATTTATTTATGTGTGAGTGTGTGTTTGTGGCCAGCTCAGCCCACCAGGGGGCAGGGCTGGCTGGCATGTGGTGCTGGGGGATTGAACCGGGATCCCTGTGCTTTGCTAAGCTTGTTCTAAGTAAGTGCTTTAGATCACTGAGCCATCTCACCAGCCCCTGATATTTTAGTAATGATCTCAATCAGTGCCCATCAAAGTAAATAAATCTGCCCCCAAATGTTAGGTGTTGTTTTGGTATTTGCTGTTGGAATAGGAGTGTGTCACCACACCCAGCCCTAAATAGTTTTTAAACTTTTTGTACTATTCTAAATCTTAGGCCTTACCAAAAATGCCAGGCTAATATTGGCAGGATCCAGAATTTATTTTGGCCAGGTATGGTGGCGCATGCCTGTAATCCTAGTACTAGGGAGGCTGAGACAGGAGAATTGAATGAGTTTAAGGCCAGCCTGAACTGCATAATGAGATCCTGTATCAAAAAAATAAGGGGGACGGGGCTGGTGAGATGGCTCAGTGGTCTAAAGCACCTACTTAGAACAAGCTTAGCAAAGCACAAGGACCTCGGTTCAATCCCCCAGCACCACATGCCAGCCAGCCCCGCCCCCTGGTGGGCTGAGCTGGCCACACACACACACACACACACACACACACAAATAAATAAATAAAAATTAAAAAAAAAAGATAGAATTCAAAAAAATAAGGGGGCCAGGGAGATGGCTCAGTAGGATAAGCGCTTGACTGACAAACGCAAGGATCTGAGTCCAATCCCCGGTTCCACCAAAATAAATAAATAAATAAATAAATAAATAAATATAAAACATAGGGTTGGGGATGTGGTTCAGCGGCATGGTACCTGCCTGGCAAGCATGAGATCCTGAGTTTGATTCTTGGTTACAAAACAAAGGCACAAAATAGCAGCTTAAGTGCCTGCCTGGCAAGTGCAAGGTCCTGAGTTAGAACTAACAAAAAAGAAAAAGAGGGGGCCGGAGAGATGGCTCAGTGGAATAAGCACTTGCCTGGCAAGCGCAAGGGCCAGAGTTCAATCCCCAGTTCCACCAAAAAAAGAAAGAAAAAGAAATTTGTTTTGCTTAAAGAGGAACAGATACGAATATAGATGCTTAAGGTCACTGTCTCTTCGAGGTAGAGGCAGGGATGGGAGGCAATTCCCTTTATATCCAATTGCTGCCATCTTTGCCAGATCCATCGTGTTCCGATTTGGGATCTGCACCATCCTCATGTAGCCCCCACTCTGACCGTGGAACTGAGGGGCCAGTACCTTAAACAGCTTTGGGATTAAATCTTTCTCTGTAAGCCAGAAGTCAGCCATATGCATGGCTCGCTTATTAGTGTCTCCCATTTTTCCATAGTCGATGAGCTGTGAGGGCAAAACAAAATGAGCGGATCCAACCAGAGCAAAAACACGGTGTTAATCTTATTCTTCCATGCCAAGACCTCAATCACTTCATCCCACTAATAAACCTGGCCTCAGCTATAACTCTACATTTATTAAAGGAAGGAAGCCAGGCGTGGTAGTGCATGCCTATAATCCCAGAATTCAGGAGGCTGAGGCAGGAAGATCATCATGAGTTCCCCTCAGGCCCCACAGTGAGTTCAAGGCCAGCTTGAACTACATAGTAAGACCCTGTCTCAAACAAACAAACAAAATCCCTCCTAAATTCTGACACTGTTAAGATCCACCTTATTCAGCAGATGTGACATTGAGCTCTTTCCCAGAGTGCAAATGACCATGAAAGGTAAATTCTGGGAATCAGTTCAGCACATTGAGGCAGCCAGGACAGTGCAGTAAAGACCCTCACAAGAGAACTCCAGAGCTGCTGCAGAAAGTGGCAAGAATGATGGGAGAAGTGCAATTGAAAGCAAGGCAGAGTATTTTTTAAAGCAGAAATTAAAATTTTAAATAAAAAGCTGCCCAGGATGCCTGCCAAGACCAGGTGGACATGTCTAGGCAGGCCTGATAACAGAACACTTCTTCCTTTGTGCAACCGCTGTCTCTTCTGCTTTGTGTAACCGATGGCCTTGCAATGTAGCTTAAAACATAACAAGACATTTCCTTTGGCTAACTCGTGCTTTGTATAACTGATAGCCTTACACTGTAACTTGAGATGTTCAGTCTCCTTCAGCAACCCATGACTTCACTCCGCCCTCCAACAATATGTGCCAATTGGCCTTTGCCCTTCCCCATTTGGCCCCCCCAGTCACGTAATAAACTGCCTCCTAAACCTCCTCTGTGTGGCTCTTTCTTTTCTTTTTGGTGGAACTGGAGATTGAACTCACGCCCTTGCACTTGCCAGGGAAGCGCTTATTCCACTGAGCCATCTCCCCAGTCCCCACCAATATACTTTATACCCAAATAAATGAAAATATTTTTAAAGTCACTATATTTATTTATTTATTTATTTATTGGCTGAACAGGGATTGAAGTCCGGCCCTTGTACTTGCCAGGCAAGTACTTATTCTACTGAGCCATCTCCCCGGCCCCTTGTTTGTTTTCGGGGGTTTTTTTTTAGTGTACTAGGTACAGGACCTCACTATGCAGCTTAGACTCAT